CCAACAAAAAACCTGAAGGCAGTTATCATGGATCATGGTAGTAACAGGAGATGAGGAAAACCCACACTAACAGCACCAAATGAAATGGACCAGAGATTTGAACAAGGTCTTCATCATCCCAACATTGTGCTGACACCTGGGCTATTGCACATGGATGGCTCTTTCTCAGAGCTTTTCTAGTGGCTACACTTACACCTAACTAAGCAAATGGATGGACAACATTTTTTTAAAATATATTGCCTTACAGTATCAGTTGTGGGTAGTCCATTTAAAAAATGCATAATCATGACATAATGTTTCTGTGTTCCCCTCACTTGTTGATTTTTCTAGCACAGTTATTTTTCTTCCCTGACATTGCTGTAAGGCTCCCACCTGATATCTCCCACTAAGGGATGTTTCTCCTTTTGCTCAGCCAGCAACTCCAGGAGGTAATTTCCTACACGTGTAGCATTTCCTTGGAGATCTTCTTTTTCTATTACCTCCAGCACAGCCAAACCAATAGCACAAGACACGGGATTGCCTCCAAACTGGTAGTAAAGACAAATAGGAAAACAAAACCCATCATAAACATTCACCTGTGTAGTTCTTACTTGCCCTCTCCCGCTTGGCATGTCCCGAGGAAAGCCTGAAGAGGTGGGGACTGTGTGCTGTGCAGGCTGTGAAGCACTGTCCCCCCAACTGTGGGCATTGTAAGAGGCCCAAGGGATGGCCTCCTTCCTCTGCTTTGCGTTTCAGAAATTTGAAGATTTCACAGCTGAAGTGGTCAAGCTGCTCTCATGCCTTACTGATTGCATGTGCAGGCAAAATGCTCCTGTGAAGAGCAGTGGGCCATAGATCTGATATTTCTGGAACCAGAGGGTATAAACTCCATTGAAAGCTGGGGGATTCATGGTAGCTGGGAAGGAGGCTCTGTCACAGGAGCAGAAAGAGGACTGAGTAACCAAGAAGAAAGCTGCTCCTCTGTGGCATGCACGCAGCTCAAATGTTTCCTGGTAAAAGGTCACTGTTTTGTTAGGCATAACTGCAGAACCAGGTCTGTCAGGGCATGCACCCGACCAGAACAGAGCCTATCCTAGAAAATGAAATTTTACACGGTCAACATTTCAGAGGCAGAGAGAGAGAGAGAGAACTAAGAAAGAATTTATCTGTATGGATGTGAGCTGAGATCCATGACCTACCAGAGAGCTAGTGTTGGTCCATATTAGGATATACCGCTTGGTACAGAGAATATTTCAAAGCCTCTCCACTTGCTTTTAGATAGGCTGTGGTTGACTTGAGCTCTTAATAATATGATGCAGCGATGGATGCAGATGTTAGCTGAAACACCTGAACAACTTCTAACTGCTAAATGCAGACCAAAAGAAAAAAGGCAAACCTTCACCTATGAACTTACTGTATTGAAATACTCCAGTCCAGAGGCACCAAAACTTTCAGCGATTTCCCTTGTTGTGACCACACAAGACATTGGGTGGCCATTGCCAATGGGCTTTCCCATGGTGACAATGTCAGGCACAAAGTCTTCGCCTTGCAGCTGGAATGCCCAAAAATGCTTCCCAACTCTGCCAAAGCCAACCTGTACCTCATCAGCTATGAACACTCCACCTGCCGCACGCACATACCTGAAAACAAATCAAATAGGTTGAATGACTAGTGCTGTAGTATATGTCTCGGGTAAGCAATCTAGGACAAGGAAGTTTGTATTACAGAAATTCTCCAGTGTGAGACCAGGTTAGGACAAAAAGAAGGAACATGGCTGCTGAAACAAGCTACAGCTATTTCAACTGATAAAATTTCTAGTTTGCTAAATGTTAAGAAAAAAAAATATCTGGTATTTTGATGCAAAATAGGGGTGCTGTAATGGTACTGCATGATTATATCTATGATGGTTCAACTTCATCTTCCATTAAACTTATGGCCTGAGGGTTAAAGATAGCAAAGGAAAGACAATTATCCAGATAAAAACGATTAGTCAGCTGATGCTCCATAAAAAATAGAAGTGGAACCATACTCTTCAAAAAGTAGAAAGGAACCACAGATAGCCAAGAACAAGAAAAGGTGACAGCTGAATTGATTGGATAAGCTTATAGTGAAGATCCTGTTTCTTTGGTTAATTTTCCAGTTATGCCCTTTTGAAGTGATGTACATACTCTGCCACTTTCTGGAAATAGCCCACAGGTGGAATTACTTGGCCTCCACAGCTCTGCATGGATTCGGCTATGAAGGCAGCAATCTACAAAAAACAAACTCAGGTGAGAGCTGTGTTTATCTGCTTGGCCTTTGCACAAACATCTAACAGTCTAGAAATAAATGTTTAAATGTGCACCTTAATTTAATCACACAATGGGCTGGACAACTGAGGGCTCTTGAGAACAGCTATGGCTAAAGCATTTATTCATTTCGTAATCTGGGGTGCCCAAATTTGCAGTAGCCAGGGCCACCTTTGCAACCTGATGGGAACATAAGGACCTCCCTTAAGCCCTAGTCCTACAGCTGTTGGAGCGGAAGACAATTGCTGGTGTCAGTGGACAAAGGACCAGGCTCCTGGGAGCTCTGTAAATTTATTTACAAATTTCAATTTACGGGAATCAAACAACAGTGTTTGCCATTTTCCCCAAGAGGTTAATGAAACTTGCTTAATGCCAAGGCTCTCCAGTAAGGGGTAGTTTGTTTTTTTTTTTTCAATACTGAACATCAGGTAGAGGTGGGTAGAAGCTGAACTGCAAGATGACCTGAGGCTATGCTTTGGGCACCCCTGCCTAATGCAGAGAACTACACAAGTAAAATGTCAGCATGAGGCACTTGACAAAAGAGGAGAAAAATTCTACAGGTGAAATAATTCCAGTTGCTAGGAATGAAAAAGAAAGTTATTTCAATTCAGGAAGGGTAAAAGTAGCAGATCAGATACACTGGAACATCAAAATTTGTTTCTTGTCAACAGCAGAGGTCTATGCAGCAGAGATACGGTATTACCCCAAAGTCTCAGCATAAGTCTGCTACTTAAGGGATTGCATCCCCACACCACTTGTGAACCCCTCCCTGAGCATCAAGAGGTCTCTCTGGGCTGGTGCAGTCTTCCTGGAAACAAGGCCGAGCAGTAACGTGTAAAGAACCGTACACTATATTTGAAGAGGCATGCTACGGCCAAAGAGTACGAAGCTTCCCATAGCATGTGAGGCTTAGCCTTTAGCACAACTTGTCCTGCCACAGGTCTATGTCACCAAAACCTAAGAAATATGCAAGAGAAAGGAAACAAGGGAAGAAAAAACAAAACTATCGGTTAGTAGAGGATAAAAAAAGTTGATGAAGAAACTAAAAGAAGAGTGATGTAAGTCCATTGGACTAGAAAGGAACATGTTGTTCCAATCTCCACTGAAGTCTTCTGTGACTTCAGTGGGCTTTGGATCAAGCCCCACATGTCTCAAAACGCTAATGCCATCATACAAAACTTTAACACACATTTTAGGTAAACCTGTTCAGAAATTGCCTTTTTTTATCAATGTCATATTGTGTATGATTGAAAGGTTCACCTTTTTAGATGACTCCAAAGTTATCTTAAGCTACTGGACTCAGAAATATAGTATCAAGACTTTATCTAGCATATTTTCTCCATGTCCTTTTATATATCCTTGCTAGAATTTGTGATACAGTTTCTCAGTTGATCTCAAAGTTTGCCCTAAGACATTTACAATCTACTGGTTCAATGTATAAAACATGAAATTAAACTGCTTTGGTTATATCTGCTTATTTACAACTGTATTATTGAGCCTTTCATTTATGACTAGAAAAAATATGGTAAGAGCATCAGGTAGAAAAATGCCCACATTTTGAACACAGAACCCACCATAGAAAAATGAAGGCAAGAGGAAGCATGGGAAACTGAGTAAAGAGACATGTCCTTAGTTGCAACATGTCCTTAGTTGCCCGATTTATGCCCCCATGCCACACTTAATAGGTGAAGCCCAGAGCACAGAACACACACCTTGCGTCCATTCTTCTGTGCTTCTTCAATAATCTTTTTCACCTCTTCAGCATAAGCACTTGATGGATCTGGGTGGTCTTCCCGATATTTCCCTCTGTAAATATCTGGAGAAGGAGCCTGAAAAGACCAATTTTTTTTTTTTTTTTTTTTTTTAAACCTATCATTCTATGAGACATTTACTTTCATTTCTATTGCTCTGCGTCTTTCCACACACATAGATAACAGGAGTTAGTACAGCCTAAATTTCTGCATGGAATTGCAAAAATGCTTACAGGAGCTTAAACTTAATCCAGCCCTGCAATGTGTTCAACATTACTGGACACAGCTGTTGAAACAGCCATCATCTACCTCATCCACCTTTCAAGACCGTCCCTCCTGTCCCCCAAGGCACAATACTGAGTCCTCATCCATCATCTTAGTTCAGATTATTGCGGAAAGATCCATTTCTGCAACTGGAGAATGGGGGTTTCCAGTCTGTCACTTCTCTTCCAGCGTCCTAGTCATGGTATGAATCTGTATAACCTTCAAGCCTCTACAAACGGCATTGGGAGAGGTTCAGAAAATAAGGGAAAGGAAGTGGTATAAAAAGGCGGATGCTGCTTTGGCAGGGTGGTTAACACAAGGAGGTCTAGATAGGAAAGACCTGCTTGGTGTACATCTCTGAGCTGAGAATGATTTTGTCTTTGTAAAATATACAAATTCAGGCCAAAAATCAAACAGTATCCTGCTTGGTTAGACACCTATGAGCTCTATACCCAGATCTCTGTGAACCTGTGGGGTCTGTCTTTCCAGACAGTCTTTTTGGAAGTAGACTCAAAAGTCCTGCATATCTTTAGCCGAATCAACACAACAGATACTGCCTAATTTCTTCAAAGTGTATAACTACACAGCACAGTGACTCAGGAAACTTGTAGCACTATGAAAGAAAACAGCCTCACAGCTGAATACCCTCTTAGAAATCCAAACCCAAACAATTTTGCTGTTATTTAATCCCCTGACAAACAGCCAAGTGTATGTACTCTAGCATCAGCAAAACAGAACAAAAGTATATTCCAGAAGTGACTAATTCAATATGCTGCATAACAGGCATAAAAATAACACAAAAGCAAAAAAACACACTTACCACATGCACAAACTCCTTCTTGCTGTCCTTTCCCAGCTGATTAAATTTATAGGGACTGATGTCAATCAGAGATGTAACATGGCCATGGTAAGCACTGCATGAGTGTTAAATATCGAAGTCACTTTTCACCAAAGTATAGAAGAGCTAAATTTACAACTGTGCCCAGAAATAATCCAGAATAAGTGACTGTATCTGCAACACAATAGCACTGTTTCTGAATGGTTCTTGATTTAATTTACTGAATCTTTCTCTCAAAGGCAACAGGAAATTGCTGCTGACTTTAATTCACTAGCAAAACTGGAAACAGGAAGTTTTTTTCCTGCTTAAAATCAAGAGCCAACATGGGGACAGATCAAGATAACGTCCTCCAGACCACACCACCTCTAAGGTGGCTGCCCTAGCAGCCTTACGTAGCAGCTGAAGGGGGGTCCAGCTCCCTTATTTCCAACCTGTGGGCCCCACTCTGGCCAAGTCAAGCCTTGCAAGCTAGAGCCCAACACCATTGCAGACTCTCAAGAGTGTGCGTTGCATCAGAAGGTGGGGATCTTATGCAGCAGCAGCACACAGCTACCTGCACTGAAGACTCTACAGGCTAGACTGTTTGGCAGAAGCCACTTTCAGGATAAGGATAAATATTGTTTGAATATAAAAGATTTCTATAGCTGAGTATGCTAAAGTTGGTTACTACTGAGGCAAATTTGATTTAGAAATGGGGAAACAGAGCCTTTTGAACCTAAAGCATGTAGTGGCTTCATTCAGGGAATAAATACTTCCATTCAGCCATAAACTTGAAGCGAAAGGAATCTCAAACCAAACACATGTAACAATCTCATAGTAGCATATGCATAGGGTAGAAAGGATGTTTTTGAACTTCTTTGTCTTCTTTACACCTTTCTACTAGCCAGTCAACAAAATCTGCCAACAGACACAAAGGAAGGACAGAAAGGCCACCCTGACTGGGATGGTAGCTATGGCAAAAGCCTACCAGAGCCTTGGGACCTGGGCAAAGGAATACCCTGTGGTGTTCAGGAAGACAAGACGTTGCAGTGAAACAGTGACAGAGCCAGCTAGCTCCATCCTCAGCCTCTCCTGATGGAAGCTACTCTCAGTGGCTCCAAATCCTGGCCACATGAGTCAAGGAGGGCTAACAGGGATCTGAGCACGGCTGAGTCAAACAACCTTTGTGACGTTCAGATAAAGACACATGCTCTTGCAGTTGCTCTGGCTGGACTTTCTAATCACCACCTGAGAAGATCCAGCCCTACAGCAGTGTAACCAACCTTACAGCTGCCTCTAGGATAGGGAAAACTAGAGATGTGGTCAGCCACCTACCCCATGGCTGACAGCCCTCTCAGTGCTTCCTGATTTTGAAGCTGCTTGGTTTTGTGTGCGTACTTGTGTTCACTGGGGGAGAGCTGAGTGTTAGTGCAGCACCATTGCAGAGCTACAGGATCTTTCATCTTGACCACTGAATATTTCTTTGTACAAAAAGAAACATGTCCAGCAGAATGTGACAAACAGAAAGCCCTTTTCCAGAGCAGCCCAGTGGCCAGACCACTCATTGATGTTGAAAACCAACATTCAAGTCTCTGGCCTGAATTGCTTTGGGAGACTATGGCAAATGCCCTGTAATAGGTGATTGATCTCCTGGGGTGACTGACAAGCTTATTTTTCAGAGATATTCAAAATTTGTGTTTATCCAAATGTGGAAAAGGGATTTCCTGACCTGTTCTAGTTTGAAAGCAACAAAGCTTTTCTTTCAGCAGGCAGTGGAGTACAAACAGTAAGGGGTTACTGCAAAGCTGCTTCTGAAGTAATGGCAGGAGTTGCTGGCTGCATTCACATAAGCTACTCTATGTACTTACTTTTCAAGGGTGATCACATCTTGGTGCCCATGGTACTGCCGAGCCAGTCGTAAAGCAAGATCATTTGCTTCAGACCTGAACAAGAACAGATACAGCTGCAAAATAGTGAGGGAGCACTTCCAATTAAAATGGTATTCTGATATAAAAGAGGAGGCACAGGACTAATAGATGTAATAAATCAACACAGCAGGCTCTGTTACTGTACAGATTACAATGCTAAGGTTGAGATGTAAATGCCATGTAAGAGGGCAAAGAATAAACAGCTCTTTGTATAAACAGCAAACAAAGAGATGCTCTCTTTCCCATGCTTGTAGACATTTACCTCCTCTTGGTACAAACGACACCACTTTGCAGCTGAGAGCGCAATGCAGCCACAAACCCTCGAAAGGCAACAGCATGCCAGCCCTGTCTCCCACCCTCCACGATGGCTTTATCCTTCCCAGTGCTTGCACCATCAGGCAACAGAGACGCTCCTCGGATGAAAACTCAAACTTCCAGCCTGACCCATAGCAGCCCCTCTGCTCACAAGCCCCTGCAGGTTGTCTGTTCTGGCAACGTAAGTGATCACAGACTAAATGGACTGCCTAAAGAAGACTACTAGTTTCCAAGGTCATATGTCAATTTACAGATAGCATTCGCCAGTCTGTACATAATGTTCACCAATTTGCAGTCTAATTTGCTTTTCTTGCTTCCCCTCCTTTTTTTTGCATAGTATTCAGCAGACTAGTTTCATGTTTTGGCTCTCTTGCATCGAGCCACCACACTAAATATGACAGCTGCCAATTGGAAGGATCCTTTGATCAGTACTGGAAATATTTTTGTTGCTTATTAAGTCTTACTTAGCAAGATCTACACCAAGCTGTTTGAGTGGCCATCTCAAATAGGATCAAAATACTCCTAATGGAAATAAATAAATATTCATACATACCCAGAGTTAACAAAATAGCAAACAGAGAGTTTCTCAGGCAGGGTGGCTGTAAGACGCTGTGCATACTGAACAAGGTTGTCATGCAGGAACCGGGAATTTGTATTGAGCAGTTCCATCTGTTTTGTTGCAGCCTTTATCACATATGGATGACTGTGGCCAACTAAAGAAGAAAATAATTAGTTACTACTAGCAGTCATCTATTGAACTACACAAGGAGATTCAGAGAAGCACTGTGAACACCATCACTCAGCAGAAGTGTGTTCTGATACCTACTAGAAATGAAGGAATAGAAGCAGTCTTACAAGTTAAACTGCTTACCATGTGCAACGTTGTTGATGCAGTCTAAGTATTTTTGTCCTTTCTCATCAAACATATATTGGCCCTGAGCACGAACTATCTTCAGCGGGTCTTTGGCAAAGAAAACTTTGCAGGAAGGCCTAAAAATAAAAATTATAAAATAACATCATTTTATTTTCTCAGCTGTTCCCCCTCCTTGGAGCGTTGAGGGGGTTGATCTTTTGCAGCAATGGAGACAACTGCCTCCCTCTGCAAAGAGCTTGTGAGCGGTTCAGATGGTGGTCAAGTGGGGCTCTTGCTGAAATGAAAACCAGCCCCCACAGACCTCCTCAGGCACGGTGGGAACAGAAGTAGGTTTTTAATAAGTGCGTTTTCAAAGCATGACTCTGTCTGCAAGTGGTTTCATAGGAGCACAGTGACTACAAGTCATTCCAGGACCTTATATGTCCTGCTGCGTTTCTAGGCTATAGCTCTGTTTGTTTACATGCCTTACAAACATGTATGGCCAATTAACTCACTGGGAACAAAACTAAGTTGTTAAGCATTGTTTTATACTGCAGCCAAAAATTCATTACGCAATGGAAGACCATTCCGTATAGAGGTCACATTCAAGAACAAAACACTAATGCCTTACAGGCTTTATTTTCAGAGGTGCTGAGCAGGTCCTAAAAACCTCACTATCTCATCCTGACTGCTTTGGATAAAATCTCTAAAAGCAGCTTTTTATAAGCACCTAAATTGCACTGGCTTCCAGCAAACTCAGGCTCCTTGTAAAATTATCCACAGTACTCTTTAAACACTCTCTTTTTTTTTTCTTCTTTTTTTTTCCCCCCCTCTTGGAGAGCATGCCAGTTCTGTACTTATATTAAATGATATTACTGAGAGAAGTAAAGTCTTCTGAACTTTTACTAATGTTTACATGACCTTGGACAAACACAGTTGTTTCTAGATAACTCAGAGAGTTATTGTCAGGTATATTGACATTATGAACTTGTAAAGCCTAAATGTGACTCCTAGAAAGTGAGGTCGTTTATTTTCTTTCTCACAGTTTCTAGCCCCATTCCATAGATCTTTTCTGACATCTCCAGCTATTCCTCTGGTACGTTTCAAAAGTAGTGCACACCATCATCATCATTGGCTATTTCCTGACGACACTTTTTACTTGTATAACGTGTCCACCTGTTCTGGGAAAGTTTCTTTTTGTTCACCCAGCACAGCCCAATCCTTGCACAGGCAGCAGTCCCTTAACATTGAGCTGGCCCCTAAAGAGAGGTTGATGTGCACACTCTATGAGGCTATGACTTTTATGAATCTTTAGTGAGCTTTCTATATATGCCACACATTCAGGATGCAATCAGCAAATAGCCAGCACTGGTTTTAACGATCTGGACTTATTTTTCACTTGGTGACACCTGCTGAAGAAAGACTTAAAGCTGCACGTTCTGAAGGCACTAATAGTGCAGTACAGCGGGATCGGAGCTGTGCTCAGCCAGGACTGCTGCTCAGGTCACAACTGCGGGCAGCCTTAAGAAATCTCCTCAGCTTCATTTAACAGAGAGAGACGTCTATTTTTCAGGAGCGTGCCGTTGATTCACCAAAAAAAGCCCTGCAAGAGACGCGTTTTAAACATACCCCCAGGTACCACTTTCTGGTTGCTCGCTTTGATCTGTTACAAAAGTGAAGTAGCGTTTGACGCGCAGGGTTTTCATGACTGCATCCCCCCG